AGTTTTTGGAATACAGAGTATTTACGAAAGGGAGAGAGGTCTTTGTTCTGTGACTGATATATCCACATCAACAGAACAAATGACAAGGCAGGGGAGTGGGAGTGACCCCTGGCATCTTCTGAGCACTGCACTGACATTTTTACTGAGATACATTCACAGCCTTGAGCTGGGGCCCTAAGATTTTCTGGGGATCAGAAACCCTCGTAGAGCTTGCTGAAACTGTGTATTCTTGGGTTTCACCCTAGGTCCTTTGAATTAGTTCACTGTGAGGCAGGTCAAGAAATCTATATTTTAATAATCTTTACAGGTAATTCTGGTCACATGAGAATTTGAGAAATATTCTTCAAGTCAGGAGATCAAGCCTCTATTTCTGGGTTGTAATTGATTATCACCAATTAACCATTTGCTAGAATAAACGGAAGGGAACCAATTCTTGGATGACTTTTTATGTGTGTCCAGCATTATACCAGACACTCTAAGTATGTATTTTTTATTTAAATCTTGCTATAGTCCAGCAAAGTTGGTATTATTATCCTCACTTCTTAGAGGAGAAAATGTAGGTTCAGAGAGAATAAGAAATGTTAATACATAGCAGGGCAGAGATTTGAACCCATATCTTTTTTTGATTCCAAAGAGCATACTTTTTCCAGTAATCCATACTCACTGACCATCTTGCTGGGCATTTTCTATGTGTCCAGCATGGACCAAATTTTTAAGGGTTTATAATAGGTCACCCTTTGATCTACTGAGGGGCATTATGAGAAATTTCTGAGGAAGATAATGGTAAGTCCTTCCATTTGCTTGGGGAACTCTTGTTATGGACACTACAGTGCACTGACCAGAGGCCCTGCTGTGTCTCAATCATTCTGTCAGCTCCTGAAAACTCGGTGGCTGGCAGCTCTCAACTGGATCCTCATCTGAGAAGGTCCTCAGCTGAAGAGAGCCTCTTACTGCACATCAGTCTCCTCCCTGGGACAGCCCACATCCTATGTCTGGTTTGGGCAGGGGTATAAGAGTTCAGCCCCTTTGCTTCAACTCTAGACAACGCTGATGAACCACCCCAGCATCACAGGGCCCATGTAGCCAGTCAGGGCCTGTATTATAACTGTGCTATGGCCCACCTTTCCCTCTGCCTAATTCTGTGTTCTTTACTGCCTATGGATGTTTCCAAGAGCACTCCCCACAAATCTCCTGCATCCTAATCTCCATCCCTCCAGAGTTCACTTCTGGGAACTTAACCTGTGATGTTGTCAAATTTTTCTTGTGAATAAATTATGCTTATGTTTAGGCAGTGCTATGGGCTGAATTATGTCCCCATGTACCCCTCCCCCTCCAGCCATTCATATGTTGAAATCTTAACTCCTAGTATCTCAGAATGTGACTGTACTTAGAAATAAGGTCTTTAAAGAGGTGATTATGGTTAAGTAAGATTATTAGTGTATACCTTAACCCAGTATGACTGGTGTTCTTAACAGGAGAGTAGGACACAGGCACACTCAAAGCAAAGGCCATGTGAGGACACAGTGAGAAGGAGGCCATCGGCAAGCCAAAGAGCAAGGCCTCAGAAGAAACTGAACTTGCTGACACCTTGGTCTTGAAAATCCAGCCCTAAAGCTGTGAGAAAGTTCATTTCTGTTGTTTAAATCACCTACTCTGTGGCACTTTGTTAGGGCAGGCTGATCAACCTCCTAAACGTATTACAGGTTAGAGTTACTTCTTCATTTCAGTCCCTATTCTTTCATCTTTACTCTCACAGGACAATCCAAAAATATAAACAGGTTAAATTGCCATTTAGGTGTGAGAAATTAAGGTAATAATTCTCAGTAGATAGAGTCATCATACTCCATTAAATATGTCAGAAAAATCATATATTTTAAAAGGTGAAAAAAGAATATATGAATTACTCCACATTACTGCATCTTCTTTTTAGGACATTTATCATAGACCTATGGCAAGTGCGAATACATAGTCTGACAGCTATTTTGGACAAGAGGTGAACTTGTATTTAATGGGAGAAAACGACATAATTTCCAAGTTCTGTCAGTTAATACTTTCTAACCCTCTGTGAGGCAGTAGTTCGGTCTAGCTTTTTTAATTTAGATTAACCACAACAGACTGTGTTCAACTGCCAGCTTCCTGCCTTAGTATAAAAGGAGAGAGTAAGGAATGCCAAAAAAAGGAAAAAAGTTTTACAGTTTCAAAGATTTTTCTTTCAGTTTTTCCATTTTTCTGAGCCAGCTCCTTTATCATCCCCAGTGGTGCACTGGGAATTGTTAAACTACCGGCTTTATAAAAAAATGAAACAAGACCAAATTGCCCTGATGTGTAATCTTTGCAAATTTCTGTGGTGTGAATACCCCCATTATGGCCATTTTCACACTACCTGGGTGAACTCCCTGAGAAGCAGGAGCACAGTTGGTCTGGGGAACTGGAACTAGCTGCCTCGGCACCACTGATTCATGCAGAAAGGCAGAAGCAGGCTGCAGGGGGCCAGCCTCCCTGCAGCCCTCAGGTGGCTCTCCAGGTGTGAGCACAGGCTCTCAGCAGTATTTGCACAATGACCTCAGAACTGGCTATTATTTGCTGAGGTTATTTTTATTTTTTTATTTTTTGGTGAGGAGCTCACTTTTAAGAGTGTTTATAAGGTTAGCACGGGTTTCTTCAAAAGATTTTGCTAGCCATGCCCTCATGGTATGTTCACTGTTGCTGCTGGAACCAAAACATCTCAGCATCAGGGAGCTCAGGGGAGCAACCAAGTCTACCCTGAGCCAGATTCTTGCAGCCCCATTCTCCCCCCAGGCCTTTGCTCACACTCTATTTCTCCCATCTTCCTCCTTTAGTCATTTCCTTTATTGCACACACTACTTTTTCTGTGCTGTAGAACTCTGGGCTTCACTGAGTCCTCTTTTGAGAGCTTATACTCAATGAATGTGCCAAAGCACAACTCTAAGCAATGTGCCCATTCAGCCCTACTTTATAGATGAAGGAACTGAGACACAGAGATGTTAAATAACCTGTTCAAGGTCACACTACTCATTAGTGTCCTGGCTGGAGTTCAAATCAGGTGTGGCTTCAGGTCCATATTTTTACTAGCATACTGCCCCCAAAGGAGGAGCAGGAATGTATTCGTGGAAAGCATTGATGACAAGAAATACATGCTCTTTTTTATTAGGTGAAACTAATAATCTCCAAATATTTACATTGTACTTAGTATAGCATGAAGTTACAAGTGTGTGTGCATTCAAATAAAGTTTAATGATGAAAAAACCCCAGAAGTGATGAAATTAATAATCTCAAATAACACTTGGAGACTCTGAACATAGATAATTATAAAGCAAATGAAAGATTTTAGGTGGTAGAATTGTCTGTTTTTCAGGGCTAGAATACCAAAAGTTGAGAACCAACATGTATTTCTAAAAATAACAGTGTTTATGTTCATTGTAGGGACTCATGTGGAATGAAATACTGGCTTGCTTAATAGAATACTACTCTTCTTTCTCTCCCCATCCCCTTCCCTACTCTGCTCTGCTTTTGTCTCTGTTTGATAAAAGTGGTTGAGTAGGTAGTTAAAAATTAAAATAGATGACTTTCATTTTACTCTTCACTAAGAAATTAATATTCATGCTAAAAAATCACAATAAGTGTAATTTGTTCCAGTTCAGATTTGTGACTTATTTGGTTGAATCCTCTGAAGTGTCTGCTTCTGTGCCAGATTTTGTCATGGAATTCTAGGACTAAGAGGAATTTTTAAGAGGTCATCATTTTACTTTAAAACGTCATGGTAATACGGCAATGTACTTGGTTTTTAAAGATTTTCACAGAAATTCCTTGGATACTTATCAAATTATTTGAAGGAAAAACTTGTCATTTTATTTAACTTACAGCCGTCCCCTCCAAGTGAAACCAGGCCGACTTTGGAATGATGAGACCGTCCCTTACTTCCTTTCTGGTGTTGGTAGTTAGTTCTCCATAGGACACAGACGACTAATTAGTGATCTGACACAACAAGGAATTAACTGTTTTTCTTCTGAGCACATGTTACTTTATGTGCCTTTTCTCTCCATTCTCAAGATAATCCCCCATCACCATTTCATAAATTTGGAAACAGATTCAAAAGGGCCAAGTGAAGGACTCTCAGTTACTTTACTGGTGAGTGAGGACAGAAATCCAGGTCTGCCTGACCCTGGGCCACTATGCTGTGCCACGCTGCCTGCCTCCCTTAGAAGTCAATTAATAGGCGCAATTACACATCACATCTACTTAATTTTCACAAAAGCGTCGGAGAGTCTTAGTTACACAGGAGGACTGACCATGTTTAAGCCTTACCACTGCCTGAGACAAGATGGGTTTTTTTTTGAAATGGTTGAATGGAAGGGGGATGGTTTGAAGGTAACTGGCTGACAGGGACTGGAGGCATCAGAGAACTGGCTGATCCGTCGCTGAGGGGATCAGCCTCTGAACAGTTCAGTGGGTACAAGTCCAGACTGGCTTGGCCACTAGTTACACTAAGAAGAATGTTCCAGCTGTTTACCAAAAGACTGCTTCCCTAGAGATTTTTGAATGGAAGAGGATTTCTTGTGGGCATAGTGTATCCATATAAAAAAATTCACCTGTCCTAATTCATGTGCTTTAGTTGGTTGGATGTCATCCCACAAAACGAAAGGTCACTGGTTGGATTCCTGGTCAGGGCACATGCCTGTGTTGCAAATTTGGTCCCTGGTTTGGGCACATGTGAGAGGCAACAAATTGATGTTTCTCTCCCTCTCTTTTTCCCTCCGTTCCCCTCTCTCTAAAACTAAATAAGTAAAATCTTTTAAAAAAGATTCACTTAACAGAGCAAAAACTTGTGGCCTAAAATCAACCTTTTGATTTCAAATATTAGTTGCAAACCTGGATGAGAATGGAATGCCATTAGTATTATTGTTTTGATGGAACTAATATGAATTGAATCGGACAAAAGGCAATCACAGCAGAAGTATGTTTTTTTCATTACTACTCACCCTTGCCCACATTTTCCCAGATGATTTTCTTTTTTAGGCCAAGGAATGTTGGAGCTCTGGATCTTGAAAAGGACAAGTCCAGTGTTTTAGTCTGCTGACCAGTTTCTTCCTTTTCATAACTCCAAAGGACTACACGATGTCCTCATGCCTGCATATGACAATACAAAATTCACAGCTTCCTGAACCTGGAAAAAAAAGTTAAAATCATGAAAAGGGGTAAACTCTAGGGAAGGCTGAGACACTTTTCATCACTTAAGGATTCCATCATAGCAGTTGGAGATGGCAAATCCATATTCTCATGAAAAGAACCCATCATTCATTCATTCGTTCATTCATCTAAGCAATCAAAGAAAGAAGTTATGGAGCTTCTACTCTGCATTAGCTGGAACTTTAAGGACACATAAAATATGGGCCCTTTCTCAAGGAACCCACAGTTTAGTAGGGAGAACCAACAAATGCAATGCTATAAAATGTCACAGGCACTCTGGTGGAATATGAAGTGGGTCTGGTGAAGGCACAAATGAGGGAGAAGATAAACTTTGGGAGGAGTCTAAAATAATGTTTGCCAGGTCTTTGTTATTTGGGCAGATCGGGAAAAGTGAGTGACCCTCCGATGTCTATAACCCACAACTTCCATCCTGTCTGTAACCCACGACTTCCATCCTGTCATTGATTTAACTTTTTTCACTCGTCCACCCTGCTGCTCCATTATTTCCCTTTAAACTAATCAAATTACTACTTGTACCATTCTGAAGCCTCCCAACATGTCTGATTCTACCCCTCAGCAGCAGCTTGTGGAGGTCACTGGAGCTCTGTGCTTTTCTCACTTCCTGGAAATGTTTTGGCAATGTGGCTTTTGCACAGCTTAGAGGCAAAGGCCAGATTTTGATTTTTTTTTTTTGAAGAATAGAATTGATGGGGCTTTTGGTTGATCAGTATGGGCTAGTTTTTCACTTCCCTTTCATCATCTCACAGCCGTAAAGTTCAGTTTTGGGATGGTATGTGTGTGTGCCTCTGTGTATGTCTATATGAACCTTTGTTGAAATACATATTCTTAGAAAAACCCTGACACTTAACCCATATGGGGCACATGGAAGTCTTTTGGAGGATCAGGAAGCTGGACATTTGTAAAAGGAAAACATTTTTCCTATCAAGAATGAAAATCCCATCTAAATAATGTTTTAAAATGTGGAAGAGAAAAATAAGGCTTGCATCTGGCACAGAGTAGAAGCTCAGCAAACTGGGTGATGACTATACAGCTACCCTGATGGGGAAAGAAGTCTTCCTAGAACTGCTCTCCAAACAGAGGATCATTGAGAAACTGAGAGTTGGTCTCCTTTCACTTCTACTAGAACAGGAACAGCCTCCTGTAATTTCAGTTTGATAAACACTGTATTTATAACTGTAGTTAAGAGGGGGGGAAAGAATTTTCTTCTGAGGCACTTGTAGTGCTAGGCAAGAGGACATGGGCCTGTGACTCATTTGCTCTGCCTGAATTCCCCCGTGGTCACCCAAGAATATTGGCCCCAGACACTGAACAGAATCAGCAGGGACAGTTACTATGTTTTTGACATTCTGTCCACTTTTCCCTAGGAATTCACACCTTGAGCTATTTTAACTGTACAAGATGTCTGAATGTAAAGATAGCCACTAAGAGTGGATTTGTCTGTGAGGATCCCTTGTCCTGTACTACAGGACAAGGAATAATTATATATATACAGTCTCTCTCTCTCTATATATACATATATATAGAAAGAGAGATTTCATTAAATCTTTATAGTAAAATATAACACACTTGCAGAAAACTGCATAAAACAATTGTAGAGCTTGATAAATTGTTATAAATGTAAACTGCCACCCGGGTCAAGCCCCTGAATACTGCCAGGACTACAGGAGGTTTCTGGGTGCCCTTCCTAATACAAATGCTTTCTTTTCTGTGTATGCAGTACTGCCCACGCCCCATGCAGGGAACCTTGTGTTGTGCCTTCTGTTTTTGAGCTTCTATCTCTCCCCCAATTATGTCCCTTTCCAAGGGGACAGAAGTCTTACAGCCAAGAGGCCATGACAATCTGGGACCCATGCCTCCTTGTCCATGACAATCTTGGACCCATGGGCCAAGTACAGGGACATTTGGATTCCTCATCCAAATGAGTTTGCACCCACTTCCAGGTCCCCTGGGCCTCTTCCTTGGGTTTTCTTTCCTGAGGGATAACTTAGGGGAAGATGTTTGAAGTAGGCTGTGGATGAAGGTTAGACTTCAGGACTAGGAAATGTGCATACATGAACACAAAGGCCCTTGATGGGATAGAGTGGAGGGCAGGAGGCGAAGGTGAATGGCCCAGCAGTCTGGGGGCCATTTCTTCTTGTGTCACATGTTCCAGTGAGAAGCTCTAAGCAGTCCAAGAATTCTGAGGTCCAATCTGGCCTTCTAGTTTACCATGAAGATATATTTGTCAAGGTAGAAGGGTAGAATATCTTTTATTTAACAGGCGGTATGTTAAATTTACAACTTCAAATATTTAGGCCTATGATATGAATTTCTCCACTTAAGTCCCACAACTGTTAAGGGTGAGTTTGCCTAAAGGTAACTGTCCTGTTATGAAAGTCCTCTTTGTGCCTTTATTTACATTTGACCTACTTAATTCTACATTCCTGTACACTACAATCAATTTACAGTTTTTAAACTCTGAATAAACAGATCATATAGTATACATTCTTTTAACTTAGCTTCTTCTACTCAGAATTATGTTTATGAAATTCAGCTATGTGGTTGCCTATAGCTTTAGCCTATAATTATCACTGTTGTATAGTACTGTATTATATGAATATTCGTTCATTTTAATGCTGATGAACAATTGAGTTATCTCCACTATTAGGCCATATGACTAATTCTGCTAAGTAGATCTTTTATCTATTTTTGTTGTGCATATAATAGGATCAGAGTGGCTGGATGATAGAAAAGCACATTTGCAACTTTAATGGAAAATCCCAAACTGTTTCCAAAGTGGTTGTACTAATTTATATTCTCACCAGAAGGATATGAGAGTCCCCATTGCTCTTGAAAAAAAAATTTTTCCATAGTTTTATTCAGTCTGTGGTAGGAACATTTTAAATATACTTCTAAATTTTTTCTTTTTTAAAATTCTTGTCACTTGCATTTTAAGATACCAAAGTGATTCTACTAACTTGGAGTTCTAAATTGTCTGTTAATAGCATCAGTAGAGGCATATATAATATAATAACAACAATAATATAATCATACCCACACCTTTATTTTAAATTTGGTAGCTAAGGAAAAATTTGTAGCCTTGAAAGATTCACAGTAATAAAATCCAAATAAACAGGGTTGGTCCTTACAGCATTTGAAAAAAACTCATAGATTAGCAGACTGCCCTAGAGGGTAAACTGACATACCAAATATGAATTTGACATTGACTTCCTTTCATAAGGATACGAATGTCCTCAGAGCTTGCTCTGAAAGTTGGGGCAGCACTGGGTACAATTTGCTGAATTACCCAGCTGGGATGTGTCAGGACCACCTTAGAGTAGCAAGATCAGCTAGGAGAGCCCATCAGTTTGCAACTCATTTAAATGCCACATCTGGTAACATCTGTTTTTCCAGGAGGCAGCAATAACCATGTGCTCTGGTCAACAGAAAACAGAGGACATGCCCCAGCCTCTTCAGCAGAAATAGTCATAGCGTCCTCACCTCACACTTCCTTCTTCACCCACCTGGGCCCCTGAGCTTTCTTCCTCTTGTTATATCCTCAACCTCCTTACCACTTTCTCCTTTTAGTGCACTCTCCTGGGCAAAGCTCAGCTCTAAATGAACTCAATTGTTTACTTTCTCTACTTCAATTGCCCAGCTGTTGAGCATTGTTGGAAAAACCAAACACCCTGCAGATGGTGCCACTATAAACTTATGGTCACCAATGCTATCTGGGCCCTTACTACTGTTAGGCAGCCCTTGTCTGTTCCCCTGCTCAGCTCACCCTCCCATACTCCCAATTTTCTATTATAGCAATAGGTCCTCTTCTGTAATGATGCACTGGGTGCCTAATCTAGACACAACTGGCTGTTGTCCGTTATGCACAGGGCTATTTCAGACTTCCTCTGCTCTCCTCAAGCCTCTGGTTTTATTGCCTGACCCTTTAATGAGCCCCAATCCCAAACTCCACTGTCAGCTCAATAGGCGATTTCTCCCCCTGCTTCATGAAGAAAGCTGGCACCATCTGAAAGGCATGCTCTTGGGTTCCCTCCTCTAAATCTGCAGATTTACTTTGCACCCAAACTCATCCCATTCTCTTCCCTGCTTTCTTTTGACAGTAAAGGAAGTGTCTCCTCTAGGGCTCAGTCTAATACCTCTACCTGGTTACAGTGCCTTTTCAGGGATGTCTCTCTACATACCCTGTCTCCTGACTTTTTCCCAGCACTAGTCAAATAGACTCATATCTTTCCCTTAAGAACCTGGTTTAAGGGGCTTCCTTGGCTTGATCAAGACCTTCTTCCCAATAGGGCAGGAAGCAGTGCTTTGGGTTGAATTGCACACCCCTCAAAATCATATGTTGAAGTCCTAACCCCCAATATCTCATAATGTGACCTTATTGGAAACAGGGTTGTTACAGGTGTGATCAGTTAAAATGAGGTCACATTCTCTTTGTGTCTCAGTTTCCTCACTGGAGACAGGAGGAGCAGCTGGGTCATTATTTTTGTGGCATGCAGGTCCCAAATCTGTGGAAGAAGAGGTGGCAGGATGGGGGAGGAAGATCAGAAGAGAGCAGTCTGAGCCCTTCACCTCTCCTCCGACCAAAGCAGCTCCAGTCTGAAATGTTTTATATTCTGCAACTCTTGGTAATAGCTAGCTTTAAAAAGTGTTTCATCTTTTAAACAATAAAGTAAAAAATTTAAATCTCCTGACTTAGGTGATATTTCAGACCTTTTCCAACTGTCATAGACTATGATTATAGAAGGTTTTACAAGTTAAAGCATATGGATTTGATGAACATATAGCACAGATTTTCCTCAGAAAAGCCTGATGTAATAAAATTTATTTCTTTCCTGTAAAGGAAATTTGTTAGGGACTTACTAGCACAATTTAATTTTAAACATTTTAAAGACGCTTATATAAAATACTCACAAATTAGAAAAGCAATGTGTTTTTGGACCATATGTTGGAATTTGGGGT